TGGAACCTGCAACTGAAGTTGGATGAGGTATTGAGATTCTCTCTCGTGGCGCACTGTCTGGCTGTATAATTGCTGAATGACCTGCTGACCTGCATCGTTCAGAACATAGAACCTAGGCACTCTAAGCTTGGGGGCTCCATCGGATTGTTGCCTGTACCTACATTGCTGTAGCCTGGTCCTTCACGGGTCCTTCACAGTCGGCTTGCGTATACCCTTTGATAAATCGGGTTAACCGGCTGTTAACCGGGTTTAATTAGCTGCAATGCACGGGGCTACGAGGGGGCGGATCTGAGATGAGATGACTGGGAGGGGCCATCGGTGCACAAGGCTGCCCTCGGCAGAGTCTGGTGAATATAGTGCATGTGGTTTATAGTATTTATGGGTCGGTTCAATGCAGTACATATCTGCAGTACTTACTCACTCTTTGTGTCCTTGTGCAGGGTGCAACAAAAGCGGAAATACCAAGAGATATCGACTGCAAGCTTCCCGACAGGAAGTTGGCAAAACGAGATTGCTCTGCCTTACTGCATTGATAGAACCAAGAGCTCGCGATCGATTCAAGCGGGAAACTTTGTGATCACGTTCAAGAAGCGGCCTCATGCGGAAAAGAGAAAGCTCATCCTTAATGAGGACGATGAATCGGATGAGGACAAATAAACAAACGAAGTCATTAGATATGTTGAACAAATACCAATCCCAACTGCCTTTTTGGAATGAATTGGATCAAGGCTCATGCATGCTGGCTAGCAAGGCTCGAGCAGTTGCGAAAGCATTACATTCACGGCATAGCTTATACACCATCAAAACACTCGGAGCATGTCATAAGGCATACATGCTATTTGCACCAATCACTAAAAGAATGTTAAGCTGGCATGTGCCGGCATCAAGTTGTTGCAACATATGGCTGCTCAAACTGATGCCTCGCCTACATCTCATTGTGGGAAATGTAAAGCAATTATAAGAGCAGAATTGCAAAAGCATGATTTCAATATATACAGACTTGGGTCCTAAGTGTCCTTATCTTTACTCAACCTCCAATAATGATACAAATACATTCAGCCATACGAGCTCCAATACCTACCGATTCACAAATACCTACCAAAAGGAATACCTCGTGATCTGGGTGACAGGGGACTAGACGGATGCGTGGGCAGAGCTCAGAAACATTGGCTTAGGTACGGGTCCCCTTTGCCGCTAGTTGCATCCTTACTGTTCACTGGCTCTCCCTCAGCAGCACAGTGAGTTTGGGCGGACGCAGCGCTAGCGGTGGGGTGCATGTGGGCGGCGTCCATGCAAGGTTCCCCTCGCCTCAGAGACCAAGACGCACCAACGCAACAGCCTAGTCCCCTGTCACTCAAATCATGTGGTGTTCCTTTTTTTAGACTTCGGATTCTCCTCTACACTAAGACCTCGTGTTTTCTTAAGAGCCTGCCAAGCCTTCGTGATTGTATTGACGAGGATGTCTTTGTTCACCTTGTTCTGCATCCTCCTGATCTTGGGCTCGAGTTCCTTCCAAATCTCCGACGCTTTCTTAGCGGACTCGGTTGTAAACGGCAAACCGAAGACATCTGGACGGACAAGGGGAAAGATATGTAAGCATAACCTCGTCCACTTTCAGAGTGAAGGAAGCCTTGACCGTTCACACCTACTCGTTATCCCAACAGTAGGCAACATGTCCAAGAAGAAAAGACTGCCCAGCGATGCATTGGGTCCCAAGCAACGAAGTTGTCCAGAACGGCTCAACACAACTTAGCAGGTCACGGAAGAGGTTCAGAACCCCGCTTACCTAGTTCTGCTTGACGTATCCCGTTCTTGTAGTACCTTGCAAGTTGTGCTTGACAGAAAAGGTTGATCACCTCGGACGAGTCGGGCCCGATGGAGCTCGACTTCGGCTTGGAGATGGAGACTGTAAGACGAAGACAAACTTAGATCAGGAAAAGGCTTCATGTATCTCACAATGACCCTTAGGGTACTGACTTCGACGACACTCACTCATAACTTACTCATGACAACCAGGCCGGGACAGCGGACAAGCATGTGACGTCATAAAGCCGGGACAGCGGACAAGCATGTGACGTAATCAAGAAGCACGGATTACACGCAGGACACTGATAAGGCAATATATCCCGCCTTGAACATCAAGCAGCTACGCAAGGAGAACGCCCGATGTTACATGCTATGGGTGGTTACAATTGACCCCGAGTTAGGGGCAGGAAAGAGCCACTTAGAGGGGCCGTACCATCCGTCTCACGAAATTCGTTCGGCCAAAAAGCTCCCCAGTATCGTCAGAGTCACAAGACTGATTCAAGGTCGGAAGCTGCGTTCAACGTGGCATCAGAGGCGCAGGAACCTGCAGACAGTCTAGAAGCTTGTAAGACGTACCTGAATACGAGAACGAACAGGACGCCTCCACAGTGGCGTCCACTCCGGCGATTTGGACCCCGATAGGTAGATTCGTCCCGGCACCTTCGGGGACGAGGGCCTCGATTTTGGTGTGGGGGTTGAGCAGGTTGACGCCGGCGCAAGCTTTTCCACCGACAGTCACGACCAGGGACGAACTGATCCCGGTACCAAAATGGCGGCCGGAAACAGCAAAATAACCACCAGAGACGCCCGACTTTGTACAGGAAAGGACATGCGGACGGGCATAGGAGATGCACGTGCTAGGACTCGTCAAGCTAGTGAGCTCGTCTACAGAAACTTGCACGAGCGCCACACCGCCAGCGCCAGGCGGTACGTCAACAATCAGGGACGTGTGTTCGCTGCAGAGTCGCGCGCCGGTTGGGACACCACCTGCACCAAGAGTCGCTTATGAAAATGGAAACTGATTTTGAATGGAAGAGACGCCAGGCATCTTCCAGATCGCAGACTCGCGCACCGAGGGAAACGGGGATACTCGAACAAGAACGTCCGTTATAAAAGCAGTGAGGGCCCTTCTCACTGTCAAACTATCAGACAAGTATTGAACATGTGCTAAAACACATTGCCAATCAGCTCAAATCAGTCTAGCCGAGCACCCTCTGATACACGGAACACCAACACAGCTTTCAAAACTATAAGGGTTCGGGCAATTGCCTCGTCGGCCTTCATAGAAAGACGCAAACGCACTCACCGACTGTCACTTTGATGAGCGGTGCGCCCACGAGCGGGCCAAAGTTTTGTCCATTGAGGACAAAAGACTCATTCCGGGTCCAGGTCGGATACTCGCTGATGCCGTTTGTGTCGAGCTCGGTGACGACAGGTCCTGCAAGAAACACAGCAAGCGTCAACTGGAAACCCTTAAGCTCCGAATTTTCAGGTGTTCAAGCGAGCAGGGTTGAAGCGAGCAGAGTTCAAGCGAGCAGCCAATCTGCTGTGAAGTAAGAGGGGCGACAGGACAATAGAAGCAATTTCAACGTACCGGCATACGAGAAGTCAGCCTTTGACAACCGTCCCCGAGCGATTGCGCAGGACGAGGTGTTTGCCGGAGCCGGTCCCTGGTCCCACGTCCACCACAACGTGGTCGCTCTGGACGTTGACAACGCTGCAGGCGACCTGTCCTGATGCGTTGATGGAGACTTGACCAACTCCAACCTTGCTGGACCCGTACAGCGTCAGTCGCCCCCCACTGGTGGGAAGCTCGGCAGGCACGACGCGGTCAATTGTGGGACCTGCACCCGAGGCCATAAGCTGGTCAAGACTTCGGTCAGAAAAGTGACTGCTCCACCGTGTGCTTGCCGTAAGAGAAATATCAACACATGGTTGCAATCGGACTCTGAAAATTTCCAGACAATTAGCAACGATAGGGCCACCTAGTCTACTCAATTCGGTTCAGATGGATTTCAGAACCCCTTTGCAATAAAGGAAAGAGACCGGGTTCAACCCAGGGACGCCAATGACATGTCCAGTGAACTTACCTTTGTAGGCAAACCCTGTCAAGCTCAGGGTTTCGAGCTTGATGTCAAGAGACAAAGGGGAATACGGTCCTCCGTAGTTGATCTCGACGATGGGCGTGACGTCGACCTTGAGGCAACTACCGGATCCGGGGGGCACAACGCAGAGGAGTTGGGGATCGGACCGTACCTACAAGATGCCGAACAGCTAGTGTCACGGTAAAGCAATCTGCAAATTTTTGCTGTTTACTGAACGGGACCGGTGCCGAAGCTGTCCAACCACCAACTGGATGCATTTGAGGCTCGCCGGGAAGGAGAACTAGAGCAGGCAGCTTTTTCGGAACAACAAAACAGCTGAGTCGCAGAATGATGCTGCACCACGGTCTCGAAAGCCCTAAACTTGGGTGGAAGAAACCTCCCGACCTCGGGTAATGCCAAAGTTGGCACCGGAAGCAACCAGACTTTTCGCACTTGAGCTACAACCTAGTTCTACCACCTGACATTGAGTACACAAAAGGCTCATGAAACCCATCGAAACCCACCTGGACCGACGGGCAAAGCTTGCCGTCGACTCTAGCCTCGAAGAGAAGCCCAGGAACGGCAGCAGCAAAACCCGTTTTGGAAATGGTCAGAGTTGAGCCACCTTCGGGCGAGGCCAGCGTGGGTTGAAAGCGGACGATCGAGAAACCTGAGCAAAAGGGAACGTCAAAGCAGCCTCAGCGAGTCCGTTCTAAAAGCGGAGGAGATGAATTGAGGGGCTGAAATCTTGCCGCATCAGATGGTCCGTAGTCTCGTGCTTATGTTATGACAGAGCAATGCAGATTTTTCTTCATGAACTGACGGCGGATGCGAAAGCGCGGCATTCACAAGTAGGTAAGGTACATGTACATGTACCAAGATGGACAGGTTACTGACCTTTCCCAAGAGCTTCGCGAGAGAGCCTAGCCGCGGCCAACAATTGTCGGAGCCGATAGCGCAGACGATACCTCTGGATGATGGCGATGCTTCGTCGCCGCAGGTAGTCCCCGCACGGCTGCAGGTCGGACCCTCGGACCTTCGCTGCCGAGCAGTGGACCGTGAGGTTGCCCTCTGCATCCCTGCAAGCGCCTCGTTCTACTGCAAACTGCTCACACCAACTGATTGGACAGATTTTGTCAGGAGGCAAAGGAGCTCGGTCTAGGTGGAGGTTAGCATAACCATCTTCTGGAAACCCATCTCCGCTCATGAAGAAGAAAACGGGCTCCAAGAAGCACTGGCAGATTTCGGAGGGGACTTTGCACTGGCATGTGTCAGAGCATTTGCAGTCGCACTTAGTCTTACAGTCCTGGCACGTGCAGAAGCAGCGACAAGCGCAGTTTGGGGACCTCCTGCGCAAACTAGGCAAGTGCAGCTCCTTAGG